TTATAAAATATTATCGTAATACTGTTTTACAGTAATAGTTATTGAAAAGTTCATCTTAGAGAGATCGAAGGTTATAGACTTGTTACTAAACTTGTACTCATTTAATACAAATGAAATTGCATTTAAGTGGATATTGCGATTTTGCGTTAATGATGCAGTAAAATATTTTATACATTGAGTGCCAGATTGAAACTTTTATATTACAAGGAAAAACAAAATCTCTTTAAATTAAATACAAATGAGCATTATAGAATAAATGCTGTTGATGCAATAAGAAAATTTCGAAATGAATTTTAACGAAATTTTGAAGTAGGAAAGTTTAATAGGATATACGAAAAATTAAGATAAATGCCTAAGAGATACCGAAAAAGTCGGTGTATTTTATTTTATCGGAAAATAGAAACACTTTATTGCTTGAAAACATTTTATATAAAATTGTTGTATTCATTAAGTTTGAAACAAAAATTATAAAAATCTTGCAATATTATTAATGAAAAATTCGCGAAATAATTCCCAAAAATATAGTATACAAAATAATATTATATCGTTATATATTTTTCGGGTCAATTAAAAATTTATAATAAAAAATTTACTTTAATTCATTAAAATATACAAAAAAGAAATAAATTATAATTCTTTGTCATTATTAAAATATACTATACCGAAGACTTATTACAAGTGATTAGAACTCATTAAATTAAAATAAATAATATTTCATTTATATAAAGTATAAGCATTATGAATACAAAATGGAAAAAGTTTTTCAACCAAATTAAATTTATTGAACTCTCAAATAAAAATAAAATTATCTACCATCTTTCTACAAATATAAATGTACAATGTATATGTACATGATATATAGGTCATATTAAAAATTATATATTTATAAATATAATAATATAAAGAGCTTATAAATAGTAAATTTGTTTATGACAGTTAAAAACAACACAAAAGAAATAATGAACAAAAATGAAATGATATTTTTTATGGTTCATTTGGAAATTTAATTTAAGGTAGGTTGTTCAAAATTTTAAATATTTCTCATAATTTCTATACTTACACTTGTACATTTATTATATTTAGATATAATAATATTTAAAGGATATAATGAAAAAAAAAGCAAAAATGAAAGTAATTTAAAGTATTTTAGAGTTCCGTATAATTAACTTTGTAAGGTTTACTCAATTAATCACAGAACTCCCACTTTTAATTTTTATCGTAGTTCTATGTATATCTACCGTCCGCTCATCCATTTATGATTTTATTATTAGAAAAATTTTTCTTTTATTGTTTTGTTTTTTTTTCTTAATTTTTTAATTTTTATGAAAAATACCCTATAAAAAATAAATAAATTACGGTGGTGGTGATGGTGGTGAGGTAAAACTGGGAGTTTGTGAGGTTTTGGAGTGTATACTTGTAAATGAAAAAAAAAATAAAGCATTTATGTAAGTATTTATGTCTCGAGTTAGAATTAAAAGTTTTCATATTTTTTTGCCTTCAATGCAAAAGAATTTAATTTTTCTGTTTTTATATTTTTTGTTTTTTATTTACGGAATTTTTCGATTTGTATTTCTTGCCTTCTAAATATTACAAAATTTCCCTAAGGGTTTACAATAAATTATTCCTGAAATATTAATTTACAAGTCAAAACTATATTAATGAAAACATCCACATCTCAGTATTCTCAAATAACACATAGGACCACTGGAAATATCTTTAACATTACATTAGGGAAACTATTTCTTAATTATTTCGAAAGCTAAATTTTTTTAAAAACAACTATGCAAGTTACTTCTCAGGCAGATTTATTATAATTTACGGCACTAAAATTTCTTTTTCCGTTCATAGCTTTCTAGTATAATGAATGCAATACTGCAGTTTTGCATACGAGAACACTAAATGGAAGACTTCTTGAGCTGTAACCAATATAATAACTATAATAATGTGAAAATTTAATAGATTCATCGAATCTATTTTCAAAAGATATGGCGCTTATAAAGGTTTTACTAATTAAACCATATAAATGGTTAAATTTTCGTTTTAATTTTTAACAATATTGTTAGGTATGCTTTGCACAGAGATCCTCAATTTAACAAAGTCAACATAACATTATTTTCTCGTCTCTTAACAAAATGAAAATATAGAATCAATACTGCGGTAACAATTCATTTAGGACCACTTGAGAACTAGAAAAATAAAATATAAGAATCAAAAATAAAAAGGTGGAAAAAAGTATAAAATATCAAAAATATATAGCGAAATATGAATTTATAAAAAAAATATAAAAGAACAAAAAAATAAACACAAAGAAATCCTTGAATGAATCCTTGATTTTATTTCATTTTTTTTCTTCTCTTCTTTTCTTTGAAGAATTATTATTCTAAATGATCCTATTGACATAGGATTCAATACGTACAAAGAGTAATACCAATAAAAATGAATACAAAAAAAAACAAGAAAGAAAAAAAAACGGAATATGAACGGAAAATCATCTTCCTTTGTATGAATAGCGACAAAAGGAATTTAAAAATTCGTTTCGGAAAGTAATGAAGGTAATGGAAAAATAATTTTTCTGTCACTCTTCATGACGAATATTGTGTCTGTCTTCAAATTTTTTTCTTTCAGCTTTAAAGGACATCTTTAGATTTAGCTATTTATATTTGTTATATTTTTTTTTCTCTTTTCATTTTTCTTATTATTTTTGAAAAACGATTGATCATGTAGAAGATATTAAAGCGGATATTGAAAGTATTTTCCTGAATGAAATATAGCTACAAATACATATGAAAACAGGAGATCCAATACTTCATTTGTGAAAGCCATAACAGATTGACATAAGAAATTAATGATATTTAGCGTGAGTTTATTAAGGATATACATATGCGTATATTTCAATTAAATACAAAAGGAAGGTGTTCGTATTATGTATTTTATTATTCAGTTAAAGAAATGAAACTATCGAGCAGGGAATAATTTGAATTTTTGAATATTCTAAGACAGATTATCCAAGGTATTGAACTATTCATTGAATTAGTTCAATTCGAATTTTGCGATATATATGTGCCCTTTAACATAGCTAAATTATTAAAATTATTTTTGAATGATAACCTCGAATACTTAAATTACAAGTGATCCAAGATATAATCCAATAACTTATCGGGAGGAGAGTATCGGTTAAAAAGATTGATTTACAGAAGAAAGGAAAGCATTATATGTTTATACTTAAAGACATGATACCTTTCTTGTACAGAAAAAACAACATTTTCATTTGAAGGGCTTTCATCAATCTTCTTTAAAAAGGCTAATTTACTTTTGTATCTTTAATTTCAATTAAGTATAAATGAAACTTTATATTGATTAAGAGTTCTTAGCACTCACTTATTTACCTTACTGCCTTTCTTTTATTCACCTTTCAGAGCTGTGATAAATGCATATACACATTATTTGTACATTTACATATTGTTTGTGTTTCACTTCCTATTTTGGAACCAAAACACAAAATACTATTATTATTCCATTGAGTTTGTTGTTGTAGAAATTGATGTATTTTCGTATCAATAATGGTATTTCTTATGACTCTTATCATATAGATTGTTTTGTTTGTTATTATTTTTTGAGTACGATTATCATTACTGTTTTTTATCTTGGCTTCACTCTTAAATGGCATTCCCATTAATCTCAATTGAAAAGTTATTTGTAAATGAAGAAGGAACTAATCAAAAGTTCTTAATTTTTTACAAAAGAAAAAAATATAAGCAGCTTCATGACATGTGCTATAGTACTGAAATTATTTAAAAAATAGCTTATGTTGCATAAAATATAATAGGAGAATTCCTGTTATGTTAAATTTTTTGTTATTTAATTTAACAGGATAACTTCTATTTATGATTTTTAATCCTGATGTATGTATAATATAACATATTGCATTTTACTAAAATTTAAGATCCAATTTATTGATATGGGGAAGTGTTTCTTATAAATAGTCCTTGGCCGAACTGATTTATGTTAAGTTACTAAACAATATTTTATAATTTATAGAATAGGTAAATTTAATTAATTATATTAAAATTTATTAATTAGATTAATTTTAAATTTAATAGAATAGATAAATTTAATTTGATCATTTACAATAGTTCATTGAGATGTAAGTCTGTTTATAATATGAGGAGGAGAAATGGCAAGTGCATTTGTAATAATCAACTATAAAATTTCAAGCACTCTCTTCTTGCTTGCAATGCGGCTGCTGAAAACGAGCAGGTATGCATTTATATTTGCTTTTTTCAAAATATTTTTATGAAAATTATTGTAAATGCTATAAGATCTACTTACACATATACTATATATAAAAATGTCGGCTATTTGAATATATAACTATTAATTTTGACGTGAAAATAAAATAAAGAAGAGATAGTAAAATTGTGTAAAGTTTCTTTAAAATTGTGTGGATTTGTTAGAAAAGGAAAATAAAAAGTCCAGAAGTTGTTTTCTTTCGAAAAAGTTTCTTTAATGGTTTCCACAACAATTCTAAAAGTGAACAATAAAAAATATAGAACAATAAAAAATGGAATTCTTAATGGGGTAAAATCACCAAATGATGCTCGTGCATTTATTTCTGAAAAGAAAATTTGTCTTATCATCTTTGCAATTTTGTTATAGAGTAAAACTTCTTTGATTTACTGTTTATATGTTTTGTTTAAAAAATAAAAGTATTAAAATTATATTTCACGTAAGAGAGAAACACTAAGAACACCGAAAAATTATGAAAATCTTCTGACAATTTATTTCTATTGACTTGCGCTGTATTTTCCGCGTTAAAAGTTTTCATACGTTTAAATGCTACATCTTCGTAATGAATATTAGGTAAAATTGCTCATCATTAAATTCTAGTACTTTTAGTTTACATAAATTCGGTACTTCTCATATTCAATAGTTCATTTTTAATCATTTTGCTAATGATTTACATACATAAAATTCTTAGCTTTAAAATGTTCAAATTATTTATTACAGATATTAATTCTATGTATACAATGAACATACATTAACAAAATAATTTTAATTAATGTACAATTATTCATATATTTATATAGCTATACAATGATAACTGACAAGAAACAAAAATTTCTAAGCAAGATATTTAGAACTCAAGTTACAATTTGAAATATTAGGATTCTTTTTTTAATCTATAAGTTGGCAAAAATGGTACATGATAAGTCCAATCCCATCTAAAATTATATAAAAAAATTTTTATAACAACATTAAAAATTAATAATAAATTTTTGAAATTTATGAAATTTAAATTTGAATAGAATAATAAAAAAAGAAATTTCAACTCACTTTTTTAATAGATCCATTCCCATCGGGAAATCATAATCACTTGATGGTTTTTCAACAACATCACCATCACCCAAATCCATTTCTTTTGACCATTCAACAAGTCCACGTTCTTCATCGGTTCCCGGTATAATATTATCTAAAAAGCAACCTAAAAATCCACCTACTAATATTGTTGTACCTAATAATACTGATAATGTTGCATCAACTGTATCATTTCCAGTTTTAATAACACCTGGATGATTTTGCATCCATTTACATAATACCATTGGGAAAAAAATTGATAAACCTAGTATATATAGATTTCTTGATGATCTCAAATCAACATACTGAAGTGTTGATAAACCGAATGCTATAATCATACCAAACATTACACAAAAAATACCACCAACTACAGAATCAGGTATCATAATGAAAATTGCACCAAATTTTCCAATAACACCTTGTAATATCATTATAAAAGCAGCCCATTGTATAACACGTCGACTACCAACCTTAAAATGAAAATATTTAATTATATAAAATAATATTAATTTTCTAGTAGCTTGTATCTATAATTTAAGTATTATAACAACCTTTGTTACACCAATAGCGCCAACATTTTCACCAAATGTGTTTGTACCATTTCCCGATCCCCATAATCCAGCTAACATTGTGCCCAATCCTTCGGTTGCAATACCACGATTAATTGCATGCAATGGTGGTGAACCAGCCTCTATAAAAAATAAATTAATCAAAAAAAAAACGATTATTTAAAATATTTTATTAAATTTCTAAAATTTGATTCCAAATTATTTTACATAAGGGAAACGATTTAAATAGTAATTTCGTATGGCTTTAACAATTAATTCATACTGTTATTAATTTACTGTGCTTCGTGTTCAAAAATATGTTTTTTAATTTTGGTGAATTTTCGAGAATCCCGTATTTTACATACTACATATTATATCATTTTGATGAACCATTGAAATTAAACTTCGATCAATTTAACACGTTCTTCAGATATCAAATTTCATTAAAAAAAAATTAAAAATTTTTACATAGTTTAAATGTAATCTTATTATTCACTTAAATTTATGCATTTTCCTGCATCTACATAAGTCGTTACTCGTTACCGTATTTATAATTTTACGATCGGCATAAATAAATAATATTGATTTAGAAACTATATATATATATAGGTAATGACAGTTTAAGCACGAAGAAATTGTAAAAATAATTTTTTTACCTTTTATGAAATATTTTGTAATATTATTATTGCTCTTAATATATTGATGATGAAATGAAAAACAAATAGCTTTGAAGTATTGATATAATGAAAAATAGCTTAACACTTTAATCAACGACTATTATTAAAGCTAATATTAAAGCGGAAGATATAATTATTCATTTTTTTTATTCAATAAATTAAAAAATGCAACTAACAATTGTTTATTTGTTTTTCTTGAAATCATATATAATTTATGCACATAATAATTTACATTAAATTAAACTTGGTTGCATATAACTACTCGTATATCTTTGATCAGATTTCAATTAAATAATAATTATTAAAATATTAACTAATGAAATTCATAAAAATAATAAAATTATAGATAAAATAATACATTTTAAATTGTTTAATAATATAAAGGTGGTGGTCTGCCCAATAATGAGGTATAATAATTATCAAATAGTTTGCTTTAGAATTTTTTAATATTGACCCCTACTTGATAATAAAAATTTTATAAATTCTTTTGTGCACTAAAAAACTGTACTTTATCATATTGCTATTGTTATGCTAAAAATGTTTGAAAATTCTTAATTAATAAACTTTTCCATAAAACATTGATATTGAATATTATAGAGCTAATTAAGAATTTATTGAAGTTTTAGGATATAGTTCTTAAAATAAAAGATAGAGTTATAAAATCATCAAGAGAAATTTCGGAAAAACATTTAAAGAGCTATACTGAGATTTGATTTGAAAAAGAACAAATAAAGTAAATTAGTTTTAAATTGATAATCTTTTATAGCAATTCGAGTAAAATCTATATGCCACTTAAAGAAAGACCAACTACATTCGTATATTTTCATCAAATAGCTTTGATTTGCTATTAAATATTCAAAAGCCCAACTTTATAAAAAAAATATATATAGCTAAAAACAACAATAATAAACGTAATGCAAGATTTATTCTGTTATACTGTAATATTTTGAATACAAAATTAATTTTTTATACAGTAATTATTATTATATAAATAATTTTGTTACACAAAATGAATGTAGTAAATTTTACAATAATAAGATGCTGATTTATTAATCACAGTTTTAAAATTTTTGGTGTGATTTAATAATTAATTAAATTTATGCAATTGCAATATTATTAAATAAATTATAATCTTTTATAGTATTGGTTTTTGTAATAAAAATTGTTATTTTGGAAGTATAACGTTTAATATAAGTCAAAAAAACCTAATTTTATCAGACGCTTTAACATATTTTAAGATACACTTTAAATGCTGTATACAAGTGAACTTCTACACCAAAATTGTCGTATTTCAGTTTACTTTTAAAATTGAGCTTAATTAACATATAATAGTAATAATTAATATTGAAATATTATTTATAATTGTTGGGAATATTGTGTTAATCATATTTAGTTTAAAATAGTTGCAATTCTTTACAAAATATGGTATTCAAAATTATTGATGTTATAAGCGTGCAAAATGTTCATTCTGACTAACTCTTATACAAACTATTATGGTATTTTGTATCGGCAATTATTGTCAGATAATTATCCAAGTTATTTGAATTATTCATTATTAAAATGTTAATTATTTTAGTGACTACAATATAGAAATTATGGAAATTATTGTTTGTAAAAGCAACACGATTTAAAGAAATAATTTCAAATTATTTAATTAATTATTAAAATTTTCATACGATTTCGTTAGCTAATTCATACACAGCATTATAGCAAAACTAAAAAAATATTTTTGTGATGTTGTCACATATAACACATCTTGTGTTCGCAATCCTCTCCGAATAATGTTAATTAAGATGGTATAAAAGATTTTAAATTTATAAGAGAATGGGACTATAATAATAAGTAGTTGGGGAAAGTTTGATAACACTAATAATTACTCCACAGTTATACAACCTTTACATGAATTTAAGTACAATTAATTTGTAATATCGTTATATCCTACAAAAAACTGGAAAAATATCCTACAAAAAAGTGTAAGTATGGTACATAAATTTTTTTTTTGGTATATAATTTCTCAACATTTTGATGTAAAAATATGAATGAAATTGTTTAATAGTATGAAAAGTAACTCATGGCTCAAATAAAATATTCATGGGTTAATATACGAGTAATGCACATAAAATTCAATAATAATTTTACAATATAACTTTCAATATTTAAAACGAACTTTGAATTTGAAGATACCATGTCTCTTCTAAAAAGCAAATCAGTGTATTGTTGAAACTTTTGATGTAGCAAAGAATTTGTAAGTGTTTAAGTCACTTTAATCGCGCAAATTTTGAATAATAAATGTTCTTAAAAAGGAATAGTTATAGATATATATATATTTAATATTTTTGTATATTTTAATATAAAATTAATTTAATTATGTTATGTACTGTTTATGAAATTAAACTGCAAATTAGACTACGAGTATTAAATGAATTCTGACATTCATTATTTAATTAGCAAATTAAATAAGAATTCTTATATAAAATTTAAAATGAAACATTATAAAATAACATTAAATTGATTTATTTATATATGCTATATAAATAAATAAAATCAATAACATGTGAGATTTAAAGGATATATTTTTGGTCATAAACGGTTTAATAAACATTGTAAAAAATATGTTGGCTCTAAACTTAAATTTCGAGTACATTGTTAAAAATTTAAGAAAGTCTAAAATATAACAAGTCATATTCAATATATTTTTTGTGTTTCTATTGGTAACAGAGAAATCTTTTTTGATAATTTTGTGAAAATGTTGTTTCATCAATATTCAAATATAATTTACATAATTCTTGTATATTGTGTATCATGTACCTAATGCTAATAAAATTGTCATTTAACGTAAATTTACCTGACATTTGTGAAACTGTTGGATAATAGCTTATTGATTCTACTGTACATGCCAATACACCAGCCAACATTCCGAGAACACCTAAAATATAATAATGTTATTATCATTTATTTACATATTATGTAGATACATACGTGTATGCATTTGTAATCTTAAATGTTACGAGTATGTTATATGATTATGAAACTATGAAAACTTTAAACATTATGCTTAAAAGATATAGTATTTTAAATTCAGTTTTTATCTTGTGTGTCTATATGTAATGAAAAACAATATGTGTACTATGTATTGCTTACAATGGTATAACATTTATATTATATGTACTCTTATGTAGGTGTTTGTGTATTATTATGTGCATTAATGAAGAAGAAATATATATACAATACAAAACCTGCAAGTGTTACTGTTGGAAGACCAAATTGACCTGGATATGGTATGTAAAACCATGAAGCATCTGTAAGAACACGTAATCTTATATCCGTTCTTGAGGGATGACCTTCTTCGAAAACATTTGTCAATGTTAAAATTCCACATAAACTCCACATAATTGCTATGGTAAGCAAAACCTGTATAAAAATTTTTATGTACAAAAAGAAAAAAATTTTTTAATATTGCTTACTGGTATCTGCATGTACTTGTACATATACGTTTATATATTTTATATGTATTTATATTGCGCTTAGAAATATATTTATGTACATGGAATAATTAGTTTAATGTAGATTTAAGATAATTAAAGTGATTTTCATTTACATAAGGAAATTACACTTTTTTCTCTTTCTTTATTCAAATATTTTACAAATTTTTATTTTTTGCAAGTATTGCTCCCGTAATTTACAAAATTGCTTTAAAGTTATCCTATTCTTAGGGTAAGAAAAATTTGCATGGTGTGCATAATAATTGTTATATTAGAAAAATATAGGAAAAGTATATTACATATTTTAAGAGTTTATGCAAAGCTCTTATTCTGATGTTTTAAGATTCTATTATTTTTGGCACCTTGTTACATTTGGCAATGGAAAATTTTAGGGAAGTTGGTTGAAATAAATTTTGCACACACATTACAATATTTTGTAAATTATTTTATTACTTTTCATAAGTTAGATAAGTTTTACCTTATATTTAGTTTTTTTGTTTACTTTGTAAATTGTAACATTTGTTTGAACAAACATACTTGTAGGCTTATATTAAGGAAATTTTAAGATAACAAAGAGCAATAAATTGCGAATTGATAAGATAAATTTTAAGTTGCATTTTCAGAAATCAAATCAGACTTCTCGTGATTAGATTTCGTTGTCAATTAAATAAATCCGGTACTTGTAAATTATGCGTATGGATTTTCAAGTTTTCTATTTCTACATCTACATATATTGCAGTTTAAGTGAAGTACTTGTTTTACAGTTATTTATCACGTCATCTCGAAATTTCTCTACAAATACTTTATAAAATAAATACTAAAAGTGTTTTTTTTTTTAAATAATATGTCAAACTTACCGGGAATAATTTAAATAATTGAAAACGTGTAACAACTAAACCTTGATTTTTTCGATAAGTAATTGTTGGAACACTAACATTAACTAACACTTGTGAAAATAATGTTAACATAGCTGTCGTACCAGCTGCAATACCCCAATGCTTTGAAGCCGTTTCAGCTGCATGCTCAAATAATGTTAATCCAACTAAAGATACAGTTGGTACTATGGTTAATGGAGTAACAAATTTTAAAATTTTTCCAACTAATCCAGTGTATCCAATAAAAACTTGAAAGAGGGATGATACCGCTATAGCGCCTGATAGTTCTCTCATTCTAATTTGCCATAATTCTAATTTTTCATCATCATTCATTTTTGAAATTTCTTCTTCTGGTGGACATTTCCATTGTGGTAAATTTAGTATAGCTAATGTTGGTACTAAAAATGATATTGTACCTCCTTGTACAATAGGGAGTCGGCAACCCCATGTTGCCTGAAAATATGTTACAATACCTGTAACAAATATCATTGTTGATATAATAACACCACGGTTTGGGTCTTCATCTGCCATACATAGTGCTGGTGTTAAAATAAAGGGAATTGATACAATAGCACCAATCATTGTTAAATAATGCTGGAATGCTAATGGAATACTAAGATACCATGGGGGTGCGTCATTTATACCATAAAGAAGTTTAGATTCTTTTTTCGGTTCATTCTGATTATTGGAATTTACTTGAGAGTTTTGTTTATTTGAATCAACAATTTCTACGTTTTGCTTAACATCTTCCATCTGAAATCAAGAAAGTATAAATTTAGTTTCAAAATTATTCAAGAGCTTGTTTATGCTATACTTATTATTATAAGGTTAATATAGTTTTGAGTATCAAAAAAGGCATTTGTAATCTTGAAAAGTGAGCTTTCACATACATAATAACTCAACGAGTTTTTTTATAAAATTCTAGGCTACTGTGGTCGCAGTTCCTATCAGTTTATATTGAGAGTTACAAGGGTTTTTAAAAGTTTTATGAACATTTTCAGCTCGTTGAATCTGCACAAAATAACAGTCCTTTTGTAGTGCAACTATGTCGTATACGTATTTTTATTAAAGTTTTAGCAATCTGAGAAAATTTTAATGTACGGTTATGTAAAATTTGAAAGAAAACGCGAAATAAAGTTTTAAATTCAAATAAATTTAGTTGCAGCTTTATAATTAACGTACATGCAAACAAAACAATATTTTTAAGATCCTATATTAAACGGGCACATTTTTAATAAGCAATTAAGATATCATAAAAATATTTCTCAAATATAAGTTAATAAATTTTAAGTAGGCGTAAATGGAAATTTTTCACAAAAAAGTTTAAAACTTGAAAGAGAAAGCTTATACAGCATCGTACAAAAGATATTTTAAAATTATACCAACTTAATCATATCATTAATAGTATAATTGTTTTATTGGTTTGTATGATTAATATGTAAGATTAAATATGAATAAATTTATTACAGTTATGAAAAAAGGCCGCTTTTTATATAATTTGAAAAATTTTCCATTGTATTATTGAAAATTATTATAAAATAAAATTCATATTTATTTAAATGAGATATTTTTCCAAATATAAGTATACAAACATATTTTCATTAAGGTTTATTGACTTAAAAGCTGTGAAGCAAATATAGAATTAAAGAAACGAGCTTTTTGGAAATTTTGTTTATTTCGCAAATTTTAAGCAAAGTTTACGCAAAATTATGATATTTAAACTCGCAAGCAAGTATATACAACACGTCATTATGCAACTTGAAAATTAACTTCCCCTTATAATAATATTCATTAAAATGTATAAAATGCTCGTCGATATTATTTCGTTTAACATCAAATTTTGTAGTTCTTATTATTGTTTGTGCACGATTCATTACTACTTTTAAGATTTTAAGGAATCAATAAAATTTTATTTGGATACTTCATAAATAATTATTTTTGTACCAAATATATAAAGTGATTTATATAATGAGAATTAATTCATCTAATCATGTATCACCAATACCTAAAATATTTTTCAATTCTTCTTCCAACAAAAATGTTTATCATAGCAATATGTTTTAACCTTAACATACATAATATGTACGCAATGTAACTTACAAGCAGACTACTATAACTTGTTGCCGCCTTCATTTTGATGCTGTTATATTTTGCAGTATATTTTGCCGACAAAAGTATTTAAAAACTTTGAAAATCACAAATCAGTTAAAATACTTAATATTTATTTCATATTTATTTTATGAAAACATTTAAAACCCATAAGCAAAATATTTTCATAAATTTTGTTCAATTTTATGAAAATAAACTCAATCAACATAATTTTTAATAAAAATTTAAAAGAAAAAAAAAAACTCTCAATAGAGTTGAATCCTCTTATTGTTACAATTTTTAATTAATTTAAGAACCTTGACAAACGCTTGCTTAAAATAAACTAATTTTGTTAAATAATTTATTCTGTAATAGTTGCAATTTTCTTGAAGTGCTCTAATGCAATTTGATATGATAATTTTTATTGTACACTTTTAATATTTAATATTTAGACATTTATTCAATTTTACTTTATGTGCAAAATTTTCATTTTTAAAAAAATATTATAAAGAAGTTCTATATAATAGTTCTTTATCAGAACTACTATAGGAAAATATGAAGCTAATTTTATGATTTGAGTGTTATCGAAGGTTCCATTTTCACATTTTTCTAGTAACAAAAATGATGATAGTGGAAAATGTTCATATTGGTTTCACTCTGCTGGTTGGTCTGTTTATAAAACTGCAACACCAAGTTAAAAATATAAAATTTTCTGCACAAATGGATCTTAGTGAAAGTATAATTTGTATCTTTTCTTCACAATTTGTTTGTATCTCCCCTCGCCAGTATGTTATAACTTTCCAAAGTCTTGAAAAAGTAATTGTTTAACAAACAACTGCTTTAGAACCAGAGCTAGCCAGCCATGAATGCCATGTATTAAATTGTTGTTTAAATTAAAGTGAAATGTGCTATCGACTACATTTTCTAACAAGATTTCGACACAATATGTTAATAATATAAAGGCAAAAATTGAGAAATGTGAGAGTAATCATTCCAATATTACAAGTGTATGAAAAAGGTTAATTTTTTTTTGTATAAAAAAGTGAGGAAGAATTTTTTAATTATAAAAATATAATCTCATACAAAATCTCATACAAATAAAAGACTGCAAAGACAATTATTAACATGCTTTGTTTTGTAAACTTTTTTACAATAATGAACATAGAACACATTAAGTTTAAGGCGTTCGAAAGAAAGTATTACACTTTCCATTAAAAAAATTAAAAAAGCATGAACAGCAAATTTTTATTACCCTTTCAAAGCAAAAAAAAAAATTAAATTATAGACATTTTTATATTTTACTTTACAATTTATTGTAAAAATCACACCTGTTACATATATATTGTGTAAAAAAAAAAGTAAACCAATAAAAACTTAAATTAATTAGATGATTTTTTAAGTTTGAATGCTTTATTATTAGAATAAACTGCTGGCTAGAAACTATGGGATATAAAAGAGATGTGATTTTAGTACGTTTTATTTTTCGGTGAAAATCATATATTAAACCAAATTAAACAAAATTTAGGAAACTAATTTTATTAAAAATTATTTTTAAAAAATGGCAAATAAAACAATGAAAAGCTGCGCTATAATCAATGGAAGATATTGCTGATTTGAAAAACATTTTTTTATGTAAATTATTATAAACGAAATTAGTGCTGCTGCACTTATTTAGGAATAAAATTTTATATTTTAGCCTTATTTACTAAAGAATTAAGATAAGTAATAATGTTTTTTTAAATGACATTATCAATCAAAACATAATTATATCGCGCTTAATATATTTTTAAACGGTTATTTAAGAAATGAAAAATATTAAATAATAATGACAGCAAGTTTAGTTTCAATAATTGCTTATATTTACATTTTTAACACATTTCATTTTGATTCATTAAATTGTCATTTTATCGCAATTATCGTGATTTATATTGAATCAAATATTTTTATGCATACTCGTATACATATACATATAATTTTCAATATAAAAGTTTAATATAGTGATGGAAAATTTATTTCTTTAGCAATAATGTGTTATCGTTTGGATGTAATTAAATAAAATCGCAGTAGATATTTTCTTGAAGCAAATATCTACTGCAATTACTGTATTTAAAATATTTGTCAAACAAATAATGTGCACACTAAAAATTTTAGCGAGTGAATTCCAACTAGACAAATTCTAGTGACGAAATTCACGTGAATTCAAGGAAAATTAATTAGTTTTCTTGCAATTTCAATTTTTTGAATTAGAAATCTAGTATTTTACAACTAGATGCTCTAGGAAATTTATTTTGCCATAGAATTCTGGTAAACAACAATTACTGTCTAGTAATATAGAAAAACAGGAAATAGAATAGAAGTAATTTTTACTTGAAAACTCTATAAATAAATAGATTCCATTAATGCATTTGAAGCATGTTAGACGTCTAGAAAAATTAAATAGAATAAAGAGAAAAATAATAGATTCCATTTACGTACAGAACAACTAGAAATCTAGGGAGTTTTGGACGAATCTGGGCGAAAAGAACGGAATCCGATTTTATAATTTCCAGTTTGCAATTTTACAAAAATGCGAAATAGAATAGAAGCAATTTTTACTGGAAAACTATGAAAATCAATAGATTCCATTAATGCATTTGAAGCATGTCAGATGGCTAGTAAAATTAATCAGAATAAAGAGAAAAATAATAGATTCCATTTACGTACAGAATAACTAGAAATCTAGGGAGTTTTGAACGAATCTGGGTGAAAAGAACGGAATCCGATTTTATACTTTCCAGTTTGCAATTTTGCAAAAATGCGAAATAGAATAGAATTAATTTTTACTGGAAAACTGTGAAAATCAATAAATTCCATTAATGCATTTGAAGCATGTGAGATGTCTAGCAAAATTAAATAGAATAAAGAGAAAAATAATAGATTCCATTCACGTACAGAATAACTAGGAATCTAGGGAGCTTTGAGGGAGAATCTGGGCTAAAAATACAGAATTTGGATTTACACTTTCGAGTTGACATGTTTTCAGAAACGGGGAATAGAATATACATACTAGTAATTTTTGCTAGAAAACTACAAAGATAAATAGATTCCACTAATGCTCTTAAAGCATGTGAGACGTCTAGCAAAATTAAATGGAATAAACAGAATAATAATAGACTCCATCCACGGACAGGATAGCTTGACATCTAGAGAATTTTAGTCGAATCTGGAAGAAAAAGACGGAGTTCGGTTTCGTGCTTTCGATTTTTTAGCGGTTGTCCGGAGATCTAGTAAATTTAAAAGGAATCTAAACAAAACAAACCGAACTATATACTATATATTACCCATACAAAGAAACCATGCAGCATCGAAAAAAATAACACGTGGTTTTTTAAACTTTGCCTTGTAATTGATCCAATGAGCTAACTTTTAGCAAAAGTTATAAGCTCATTGGGTAAAATAAATTGTTTTGATAAAATTATAAATAGAATAATACACATTAATTAGAATTAAAATTTGATAGTACTTAGAAATATGCATGCAACTACAAAATTATTTTAAATTACATTGCAATTTCCTCTGTCCTTTTTTGATTTTTGTACGTCTTTTGGTTTTGTTTTCAATATTTTGTTAAAAATCGCGGCTTTGTACAAAAAAGATAACTTTGTCAAAAATTGCTACACATATGATTCAATTTTGCGTTTCGTAAAAACTGACATTTGTAAAAAAAATCTGTTATTACTATTGTGAAATAGCTATAGAACTATTTCTTGAACATAATAATTCATACTTTATTCATAATTAATACTTTCTTCGTTCAAATACATATTACTATAAATAGTAACTTAAAATGAACATCGAAACCCTTTTTGTCTTACTATGTTTTTTAAAGTCAAATAAAGGATTCAAACTAGTAAATGCGTCAAAATTTAGTAAAATAGAATTTAATATAAGATCTATGACTTTTCTGAAAATTTAACAAGTCTTAACATTACATTTAAATTATTTCTTGCTTCATTGCATAATTGCAAAAAAAGTTTAAATATGAAGATTATAGTTTTAAGAAATTTTGAGAAGAATGTAATATTAAATCACAAAAACAGGCTAATAGATTGGGGGATTATTAGTCGAAGCTTCATAAGGACTGAGGACTTGTTATATTTTGAGCACGATATGGACGTACATATGAACGTATATAAATACATAATATTTGTGATATTATAAATGATAACTATATAAGTCTAACTAAGAAAACTAAGAAAATATACTTATGTATATGAAAATTTGAAATTTTTGGCATTACTATTACAGCTACTTTTCATTTTAACTTTCCAAAACCAATGAAATGTGGTCACACTATTCTAATTATTCTATTTCTACATTTGTTTACGTATGGCTTTACGCTTTTTTAAAAGTGTGACCACGTGTACATTTTTTAAATTATAAATTTTACATGGAAAACTAAAAATTTCCACATTACAAAAGATTTAAATTTTCAAATTTGATTTATGTACATAAACTTTTAGTTAATAGTATGTGTATGTAATGCATTTTTATGTATATTTTACTTATGCATGTATACATAAAAATTTATACATTTTATATAAGTAATTCAAAAATTTAAACATAATATAATAAAAAATTTTTTTGAAATCTTATTATAATAATTAATTGAATATCAACTTCAGTGCATTTATACTTATTATTTATTCCCTCATACTTCGGTGCATTTATATTTGTACAAATTTAAAAATGTACAATATTTAGCTTTTAGCAAAGCTAAGTGAACAAGCACATTTGTTACCCACTAATTTAAATAAGATATTTTTGGCAATTTTTAAAAAGAAAAATGCTTAGAATATGTTTATTATTTTAGTTTTATGGTACATATTCCAGATATAAAAACATAAATTCATATAATAAAATAGTTGGGCCAGTAATTATTAACTTAGATTTGCAAAAAAATATGCTATTAATATTTTAATAATAGATTAACAAATAATATACTATTATCGTGATATGGTCACACTTTGCGCAACATGTAACAGCATGTTGAAATATTTTTCACATAAACAATACGCGCATAAAATGTACATATACAATTCTACATTATTACAATAATTAGGTAGCCATGAAATCAAAATTCAACAAAATGTATAAAATTTGTACATATACATACATACATAGTTCTGTATATTGTATTTAAAATATTTGGTTTAAATTTTACAGTTATTTAAGAACATGCTAAAAAAACAATGAACAGAAAAGTAAAATTTTTTTGATTTTCGTTTCATTTTTTTTTAAGTCCAGACGTACATATGTATGTATACCAAATAAAAAAAGTTTGATGGTGAAAAGAATAACGCAATAAAGCGTCTAAAGAAGAACACTCGATTTTGTTTTAAATCTTTCTCTTTTAAAATTTATAAATATACAAAGCTTCATATTTTTGTTAACATTTTTATGCCAAATGAGTTGCAAATTTTTTTTAACCATTTATTAAATCCCAGGTATTTTCATTAAGCATGTTCAAAAGATTTTTCTTAAATATTTATTTTCAGAAAGGTTTCTCAATTTTACTCCTTTGTTATTTAATATTTTCTTAAAACTAAAGAAATTTTCAATTTATTTTGCTTAATAATGTATATAATAATTCTTTGGATTTTATTTGTTGCATTACTCCTTGCACCACCAAGTTTTTTTTGCGCCTTAATATTATTTAAACGTATACAGCATACTAATATTAGCATAAATATAAACTTAACATATACATACATGTATATTTAAACTACAAATCTAGTAATATTTTCTAAAAAATAGTAAATATCAATAGACTTCTTGCAAATTTTAATATTTTTTAGGAGGTTCTAGCATAATTAAATGAGAAATAGTAAAATACACATGATTTCAGTTGAAATTTCAGCAAAATCGGCGAGATTTTTAAAAAATATTGAATAACGTGGCAGTATTGAACGGAACTTCGAAGAGTGAACTTTAATTGTGAGTTTAGTTAGTTGCAGTTAATGTAAATCAAAAATTAGCAACAATAAAAATAACGCAAAAAAATTAAAAAATAGTGCAAACAAATTAAAACAAGTGCAAATAAATTATAAAACAATGTAAACAATTTCAAAAGAAATAAAGAAAATTGTTACAAAAATTAAAAAACATATTTTAGAGGTACATATGTTCATATACATACATATGTATATACATCAAAGCATATATAAATACATACATACGAGTATATGCATGCTGTTTATCCGCATAAAGCATAAATATTTTATTTTTTGTAATTTTAAGGTTTGTAATTCTCAAAATATGGACGTTGGGGCTTCTTTTGTCTATTTGGTGGAAAAAGGTATTACGAGTAATAAGGATGTTGCAGAAATTTTGAGAAGTAAGCAAAATATTATTTTTAAAAAATATTAATTATTTTTTATCTTTTTTTTATTTTAACTGTAATTTTTCCGCGTCATTTTACGTACGCCCTAATCGACGTTTATATGTATGCGTGTAATTTTTTTTTTTTTATTTTAAATTTAGATTGCAAAACTGAAAACATTGATTCCTCCAGAACAAAACTTCAATCGTATAAAATATTTAATGAACGAGACATTTTAAAATCGTAGATTTGAAGTTGGATATTTAAACATATTGGATACTTACCTAACATTTCTTTCCTACAAGGGCACAGTTGTAAAAATCGCAAACTAATTTATGAGTGCTTTTTAAAAGTTGCTTTTAATTTCTAGATTGAAAATGGATTGGAGCTCTTAAAAGGTAAAAGATTTAACATTCAAGTATTGGAAAACCTTAACTTAGAACCATTTTATAGGAAGGAAACAGAATTTCTCCAATATGGTGAGTTTCGATATAAATTTAGCTAAAAAACTCAATTAACTTATTATTTTTCAATTTTTTAAGAATCTTGCTGCCAAGAAGAAATTTGAAAAAAAACTAATGTTTTGATTGCGATAAATTTAGATGATTGGGAAAAACTTGTTGCAGAGGAAGATTTAATATCCCTCGTTTTAGAAATTTATGTGAGATATAAGAACTGCTTTGTCTTTTTTTAGATTTTTTTTTTTTTAATTTAAGTAATATATTTGTTTACAGATTAATGCTAATATAAAAAATGTTTTAGATAACGAGAATAAGCAACCGTATCTCGTTTACAGATGTACTGAAAAATTTTCACGCCTGACTGAAAACATTTATTTAGTAATTGACCGAAAAATTATGGAGTGCACAAACGATTTTCTTACAGTAAACATTATCTTTTTCTTGTAATTTAAAATTTGATAAAAAAATTTTGAAGTTGTTAAATTTTTTCGAAGTTTATATATACAAAATGAAAAATGTAAAATGGTACTGTTTCGGTGTTATATTAAAAAATTATCAATTAATGTTATTTAGTGTTTGGTTATATTATAAAATTTTTATAATTTTATGTATGTAAATGTTGCAAAATGATATAGATGACAAATCATTTAAATACACCTTATAATAATATTATAACAAATACACAGAAATGTACCACTCTTTATACATATACATATTTTATCTTTAAGAAGTAGGAATGTTAATTATTTATTATTGCTTTTCTTTTTTGAAAAATATTATACCTGATTATGTATGTAGATAAATATGAATACTAATACTAAAAATGTATTATGACCAAATAATTATATATTTTTTATTATTGGTTAAATTTAGAAGTGCTGTAGCACGTTTCATATTCTTTTTCTATAAATAACCCTACTAAATAAAACAGTTTGTTTATGAAAGGATATACACGTATGCGTAGCATTGATTTCTAATTTTTTGAATTAACTTAAGTGTGCAACATGTAATACTGATATCACAACTTCAAAAATAAAAAAATGTATTTAAAAAAATATATTGCTATGTTAAATTTAAATGAAAAAACGTAAGAACATTATCATAAAACATTTTGTCAAACGCTATAAAAGTTAAAAATAAAAACCATAATTTGTTATGTAAGACACAAAAATTGTTATTTTTCTATGAAATGTCATTTATATTGCTTGAAATTTTTTGTGATGAGTTTCCTAAAATAACTTTAAAAATTTGTTATGAAATTAGAAATATTACAACTACAAAAGTTTTAACATTAGAATTTTCGAAAATTTTGGTTTAGCCAAACCGTAGTTAGGTAGGATATAAATCTGCTTAATATATCTATCCAATGCCATAGGATAGATGTATTTCACAGATTTTCTATAATTATCCTATAGAAATTGACCATCTTTTTTAATTAGAAATCTGTTCCTAATTACTAGAAACAGGTTATTTAAAAAACTGGAAATCCAAAGTTTCTCTTCAGGAAATCTATTTGAAAAAACTAGAACTATGATGAAAAATGAAATAGTTGTCTAGTTTTATTCAATAGTAATATATTGACATTTACTGGAAAGTGATTACTATTGTTATGGAAATTCTAGTCTTTATTATGGAAAATCTAGTTAAACTGCCAAGAATACCGTAAGAAATCTAAAAGATTTTCTTGCTTATTTCACTAGGCATTTTCTTAATTTCTCTAGTAATCCTCTTATTTTCACTAGAAGGTAGTCTCTCAAATTGTTGGGAATTCTAGCATTTATCATTGGAAGTCAGGTAAAACAAGCAAGTGGTTCTAGAAAAAATTAATGTGCTTTCTAGTTTTTTTTATCACTGTAACTCTGTGTGTTTTCACTCGAAATCAGGTAACTCTCATAATGGAAATTCTGGTAATTTTTCACAGGGAATCTAATTAAGTTATCTAGAATACCGCAAAAATATTGAACCGATTTTCCAGCATTTTTTATCAATATACTGTTTTTTTTCACTAGAAACTGGTTACTTAAAATACTGTTAATTCTAGTGTGCTTCATTGAAAATGCAGTTAAGTTATATGAAATACTAGTGAAAATAAAGAGATTTTCTACTAGAAATAGTTTTCGGATTCTTATTAAACGTAGTTGTCCAGATAACTAGAACTCTAGCTTTTTCAATGGCAATTCTAATTAAACCTACTAGAATATCAGTTAAATATTAAACTAGACAATCTATTGATTTTTTTTTCACTAGAAAAATCTAGGAGCGCAACTCTAGTTGTATTTTACTTGAATCTAGTTGAAAAAAATTTAGTGTGTGCTACATACAATCTTTTAAAGTTTATTTATTAATGTTGTTAATTTCGAAAAACTTTAACAGCAACGTTTTTTATTAAAGAACACTAGAATTTCTTAATATAAATAGATTTTTTTAAAAACAGCTTCTTAAACAAAACTGTAAAGAAAATATGCTTGTTGTTTTAAAACACTGACTTTCTCAACAGCTTCTTTGATAGGATAATTACCTTGATTTAGATTTTGCTTTAATAGCCTAATTTTGTGCTCCTCTTTTTCAGTCATCTTTTCAAAATTCAGTCATGAAAATATCGCAACTGAGCTTAACGCCTTGAAATAAAATGAACGGTGACTGGATTTTGTATATATATTTTTTTAATAAACGTGATGTTATACAAAAATACTCTTCTCATTAAAAATTACATTGTACGAGTATGTGTTGCTCACTCACTTTCTTCTCACCAGATGAGCAAAAAGAGATAAATCAGATTATTAATAAATATTCACAATGCTCTATGTAAATTTTAAGATTTAAAAAATGTGCTAACTCATTATTTTTTTTTGAAGACGTCAATGAAACCTAAGTATTTGTTTTTCAATCAAAATAAGTAAAACGTGTCTAAATATTATTAGATTATTTATTTCACATTTAATGATGCAAGAAAATAGTAACCTTTTCTAGATGTTGCTTGTGTCCCAAATATATGTATGTATGTAATTTAATGAAATAAAATGCATACGCGCCAAAAATTGAGCTGTAAAATCTCAATTTAAATATAAGAATACTTACATAGATACTATACAATATTATAGTATCTATGTAAGTATTCTTATATTTATAATCTATAAAAAGGTTAAAATTAAATTTAGAAATCTTCAATTTATCACAATAATTTTTTAGTTATATATTTTTTGTAAGAATTAGTGGTAGTTAATTAGATAATTAAATTATAAAAAATAAATTAGATTTTTTCTTCTGAATAATTACTACATTATATATGAGTGGAAAATACTTTTATTAATTTATAATTACATTGAATCATCTACATAACATTTTTTTTATTTAATTGAATTAAATAAGATATTCTAAAAAAATTTGAGTTTTGTAATAAAGTTATTATTTAAGAACGAACTTAGATAATTTTAGAATTAAACTATAGGAAAAAATTCTAGTTTCAAAATTAGTTTGCATAAAATGCGATTTTTATTTACAAAAAGTATATTGTTACCTTTTATAACAAAACCATTATATAACGGAAATAAATACTTGGTTGTTAATGAATCAATTTTTATTAGCGCTGAAAAGTTGATACCAAAATTGCTGAATTCCAAATCTTGCTTAAAGATTTTTTTCATTTCAAAATTTTATTCTATATTATTTTGATAAAAGTGCTACAATTTCTAAAGCATAATTTTATGGGTTCATTGCCAAACGTTTATTGCCTATTCCGAAAAGTTTAATAACTAAATGATTGTTGTTAGTGCTGAAGTTTATAACATTATCAAATTAATTAATATGAATAAAAAAATTTTTAAGCTTAATTACAATTTTTGTCAACAATTACATTTTTTATTAAATAATGAATATGTATAACAGAAAAAACCCTGTTTTATAATATTTGTTCATAAAAGTTATTTTTCAGAAAGTAAACTTTTATTTTGAAGCTATAACTTTATCATAATTTGACAGAACAGAAATCAAATATTAAGCTAAGAAGAAACCTTCAAAAATGGTCGCTTTGCGTAATTACCCTTATAAGATTTGTGTCGCATATTTACTGTCATTGGGCAATTACTCTCGCTGCGGAATTACCCTTATTGCATAATTACCAGCATTGCTATCTCTAGCCTATTCTTATACTACTACAAGAAAACTTTAAATATTCAATAATTTTAAAGGCATATAAATATATAGATACATATATGTATGTGCATGATATTTTTTATTTCGTATTGAAAGAAAATTTTCTTCCAAGCATTTTAATTATCGTCATTACGCTAGTCACACGACTTTAATAAGTGTATTTTTAACTAAATATAATTTACATTGTATACATACATATATAAATACGTATGTAAAAATATAATATAAATGCATGCCATGCTTATCATTGAAAAATCTATCTGTATCATAAATGAGTTATGCTATACGTGATCAGCTGTAATATTGTGTGCTTTACGGTTATATATACACATTTATAATGTATATGCGTTCTATGTACCTATATAATAAAATACTAAAATCAATGCAACATACATAAGTATGCATGTATTTATGTGCATTATATATACTATATGACGTTTTTATTAATATACTTTTATACTATTTATATAGATAAAAATATTGCATTGGGCTTGTATTTTCTTATTTGTTTCTCATTTTCTATAATGTTTTAAAATGCTTTATTTTTTCTCTTAAATCAATTTTCTATAACAAACGATTTAATAATAATTAACATATGTATAATATGTTAGAGGGAGAAGAAAAATTTTGTGAACAATTTATTTTTAAATGATTTGAATTAATTCAAAAAACAGATCGAAACAATATTATGATTAATAATACGATTGATTGAAGATTTGAGAATTGGGATATTAAGCTTACCATGCTGTGACAAGAAATTTGCAATGAC